GGCGCGGCCGGGCCACGGGCGCCGCCGAGGGGGGAAGGGGAAGCAGCACTCCGACCGGGGACGGGGAAGAGGAGGGGAAGGGAGGGAGGAGGGGCGGCTCAGGCAGCTCGGCTGTGGGAGGAAGCGGCGCTCACGGGCCCATCTCCTCTCCACACCCGCGAGGAGGAGAGGCAACGCCGCAGATCACGCACACAGAGGAGCGCGGAAGACGACGACGTCCCCGCCGCCCCCGCGGTCCGCTTCGCTCGCCCGCCGCTGCCTCCTCCCCCCCTCCCTCAGCCACTGCTCCCAACACTACCGCCGTCCGATTACATCCGGGAAACTAGGACGCCACCGCCTTCGCTTACCGTCGGCTGTGGTCGGCTCTTTCCGACCAAACTCCTCCCCTATGATTTTTTTTTTTAATAACAACCTTCCTCTTTCTTAGGCCTAAGCCCCGCCTACCTCCCCTCTCAGATTCTGAGAGCCTCTCTTCCGAGAAGCATCGGCCATTTCCGTTCAATGTCGGAAATCCCTTGCTGTGAAAGATAAAGCCTGCGCGCTCGCTCTCGGCTCCCGATTCAGAATCGGCGCCTTCGGAAAATATCGTAGATTTCCGTCAAGCCGACAGCCCTCGCTTTGATGCGACCTCGGGTTTTCCCGACGCTAGATGTTTCCGACTTGGTCCCCATGTCTGCTGTTACTTCGGTTATTTCCGTAAATAAAACGAAGAATGTGTCCGATCGGCACTTTTCGTGACTTCTGAAAGCAACTCCCGAGAACGTTCCAAGTGCCGCGAGCAATCCCTGGCCACTGATTGGCTGAGGCCTTTTCTCTGGTTCGCTCCCTAACTTTAAACGCGTTGCCTGCGGGAAGAGACGCAGCGCTTTTACTACGCATGCAAGGCGGAACTTAACGAGGTCGGGGATAGTTGCTGCTTGGCTGAGACTGGTCTTTACCAGTAACGCCTTTGGTAGGAGTTTGGTTTTATTTTCTCATTCTAACCCAGGACTTTTCTCTGCGGTCTGTTCTCTCGAAGCCTTTTGTAGCCTCTGGGAAATCCGCCTGGAACGAGATTGAAAAGGAGTCTGGAACGCAGTCGTGTTGAAAAGTAGGTGCTGTGGATTGCAGTAATATTATTTGTGGGAGAGCAGGCATAACTTTGCGTTGGACTGCAACTCGCATCATCCTGAGCCACCTTGATGCCTCTGCAAGGCGGGAGTTGTAATCCAAGAAGTTTTGGATGCACGAATATTTCAAGCACCGGAGCTCCTGAATTTTGGCGAGGTTCCTGGCGACACGCTCCTAAAGAGGCGCTGAACGCCGGCCGCCCCGCGCATAAAACGCGGGGAGGATAAACCGTGCACTTGGTTGGGTCCCAGGTGGGAAGTTTGCTTTGGGAAAGGGCGCGCAAGCAGAAGCTCGCGGCGTCCTTAACTTCAGCAGTGCGCAGGCGCGGAAATGAAGTTTCTCATCTGCGCCTGGCGCAGGAGCTCGTGCGAGGTTTCTCCCGGCTCCTCCGAGGTGCACGGTGGCCATTTCGCGAAACGCTACTGCAGCGGCCGAGGCTGGCAACCAAGCTATTCTGGAAGGCCGGCGGGGTGTTCTGGGTCCCAGAGGCGAAGAGGGAGGCTCGACCTTGTCGGTGTTTGCAGCTGACGGCAAACAAAGACCCTTCTTGTCTTTTGCTCTCTTGACAGGAAAATTGGAGGCTATAGGGAAAAGGGCAATTGTGGACCCGTCCTTATTTATGTCAGTGGCCACAAAAGGAGGAACGCTACATTTATGGCTCCTGAACTTGCCAAAATGATTACACCTTCCAAACCAAATCATTTTTTTTCCTGTTTGCTTCACCTTGCTCAAAAGTAGTCAGAATAATAGGCAAAATTAAAAGTGGACGGAAGATTCAGTAACACCATGGCAAAAACATACAGGTAGTCATCAGCTTAACAACAGTTCATTTAGTGTCAGTTTAAAGTTACAACAGCACTGAAAAAGATGACTTATTATAGTTTTTAACACAATTGTTTTACCATCCCCAGAGTCATGTGATGCAATCATCTGACAAGCAGAATCAATGGGGAGGCTTCACTTAACAACCGTGTTACTAACTTAACTGCAGTGATTCACTTAACAAATGTGGCAAGAAACATTTTAAAATGGGGCAAAAGTCGCTTAACAAATTTCTCATTCTGGGCTCAGTTGTGGTCATAAATCAAAGGCTACCTGTATTACCAGCAACTTCAACCAGTGTCGGATGATGGGACACCATTGCCGCAGTATCTGGAGGTCATTGGTTTACTTAGATAGCAACAGATCTGTGCGCAACTTCAAGGTCCTCCTACACTCACAGCTCGTGCTCAAAGAGTAGATGGTAATAGCATTTGCCCAATTATGGATTGTGTGCCTGTTGCGCCTTTCCTAAATTATGAGGCCCTGTGCTCAGTTCCTCACGTCATGGTCCTCTTGCGCTTGTAGTATGACAATGCATTCTGCATGGGACTACTCTTGAAAAGCATTCAGGAGCTACAGCTGGCACACAGTGCAGCAGCACAAACATATTTAGCGGCCCCTAGAATGGCTCATGTTTCACTACTGTTCTGCAAATTGTATTGTTACTAGTTTGCCTCAGATACAGTTTAAGGTATTTAGTTATCACCTTTAAAGTCCTGCATGGCATGAGTTCACGTTACCTGAAAAATCCTCTCACCCTATTTGGGTATCAGGGGCATTCTCCAGAGCCCATCAGCCAAAGAATTGCAGTTGGCAGGATCCAGGAAAAGAGCCTTTTCTGCTGTGGCGCCTCCTCCCCCTTTGGAATATCATGCCCCGTAAGGTAAGATCCACTCCCATCCTCTTGGCCTTCCAAAAAAGCTTGAAAACCTGGCTTTGTTAACTGGGTTGGGGCCCTGATGGGGGTGACCCACTTTGGAAGTGGATAGTACACTAGTATAAGATCTCACCTTCACCCCATCTACACGTTGGTTTTTAACCTGTTTACAAATTGTTAAAAACATTTTTAAAAAGGAGTTACACAAAAAATAAAAACAACCAAAGAAACAAAGAGGGCAGAGAAATCAACTGAGACATTTAATTCACTCACACCAAGGCTTATGAAACACTAGTGGGTCATTTGATTTTCAGGAAGGAGGTTATTGGTCAGCCATATCAATCATCTAGAGAATACTTGATACTTGATAGGAAAGGATTGAAGGATTCCTCAGACACTTATAGATGTGCACAAATTGAGGGAAATTGTTTAATTCCAGAATAAATCACTTTCTTTGGGACATTCTGCCATAACGTTTCAGAATGAATCTGCTTTGGGGTTTGGATGATAGAAAAGCCAATCAGTCTCAAGTAGGATGAGATAGTATGCATCTCTAACCTCTTCCCCTTAACATCTACCAGCATGTAATGTCTTATCCCCCCAAGGGCTACCTATGGTCCACAGTCTCAGACACACACACACACACACACACACACACACACACAGGCTTCAAACAATATCTGTTTTCCAGAGATTTGAGGGTATAGTTGTATTTAATAGCCAGCATAAAGCTATTGAAAATACCATTTTCTTGAGCACAGGTTCTCCTCAGAGCTGCGTCCTAAGTCCGCTGTTGTGCTAGGTTTGCCACCAACCATATTGTGAAGTTCGCAGATGATACAACAGTAGTGGGCCTTATTCAGGATGACAAGGTAGAAGCTTACCGCAAGGAGGTTGAGGGGTTGGTGAACTGGTGTAAAGAAAACAGCCTAATTTAAATACCAGAAAAACCAAAGAGATCGTTGTCGATTTCAGAAAAGGCAGGCACAGCCACACTTCTCTGTGTAGCAATGATTCACCTGTGGAGATGGTTACCAGCATCAAATTCCTGGGTGTGCATCTAACGAATAGGCTGGCTTGGTTGCTCAACAGCGAGACACTGGTGAAGCGGGCACAGCAGCGCCTGCATTTTCTGCATTGCATGAGAAAAGCACATCTTCCTTCTCCTATCCTTACTACTTACTACAGGGGGACGATCAAGAGCATCCTGTCATACAGCATCACAGTCTGGTTTGGAAGCATCACTGCTTCAAACAGGAAGGCGGTGCAGAGAGTGGTGAGGAAAGATCATTGGCAGTTCCCTCCCTCCCATCCAGGACATAGCACAGAAGCGTTGCTTGAGCAGGATCTGTAAGATTATCTGGGACACTACACACCCTCTTCACCACCTGTTTTCCTTGTTACTTTCCAGGAGGCTTCGTGGTATCCGAAGCAGAACATCCAAATTCAGCCATAATTTCATTCCATACAGCATTAACCTTGTGAATTCTCAAGCTTCCTCCTTCCGTTATATATTTAAGATGGACAATATTTAATATTTATTTGTTATATATATGTAGGGGTGTGGGTCTATACATATGTTGTATATAGTATGTTTAGGTGTGTGTCATGCATGTGTTTCACTTTGAGAGCAGGCAATTAAATTTCATTTTTGATGTATGCCATTGTGCCCACAGTAAAAAAATGACAATAAAGGTTATCTTAGAACAGTTCAGTGACTATTAATATGCAAATATGGTGATTCCATAAAAACTCACAAGGGCTTTATTGGGCAAGAGAATAAGTAATGGGAGAAAATGTTTCTTCTCACTGCTTTGCTTGTTTACATTATTTTCTGTTTATCATATGTCAAGAAGCACTTAATTGCATTCTTATACTCATGCAGAATCGGTTACATTGGTAATAGTTCAGATTGCAGACTTAATATGAATTGCTAAATTAATGTGGAAACACCTTGGACATCAGATTTAAAGCAGAAATGGGATTCCTGGAAATTTTTAAAATTGGTTTCATCCATCACCTTTTAATTCAGTTTGTCTTCACATTAAACTATATGTGTACAATGTAGAATTGCAAATATAACCTTTTTTCTTTCTTTTCTTGCTCAAATGAATTTAGGAAATTGGTGAGCCAATATAGCCACCAATAGAAGAAAGGACACTTGTCTCCCAAGTAGGATAAAGTTAGCAGGATGACAAAGCAGGGAGCTGTTCTCCAGGGCTGCAATAATGAACTTGTGAAGTATATGGAAGACTTATGCATTCAGAAAAAAGAAGTAGACCAGCAAATTGGAAAACTGGTAGAAGACAAGACTAAAATTCAGTATGAAATTGAGGTGTTAACCAAACAACTGGAAAATGTCTGTGAAAGTTTAATTTGGAAAAATACCATACAAAAGAAGCTTGATAACGTTCTTGCTGAAGCAGTATTCACATATGACAAGATCTTGGACAGTTCTAGAATTTTGCTAAATGTTTTGAAAAAAGAAATAGAAAATTTAGACAAAAATGATAGCATTGAAAAAGCAATTCAATGACTCACCAAGACATATTTGGACTCTAACCAAATCAATGTTAATACTGGCAAACAAATTATTTAAGAAATGCCATTTTCTGTTTTTCTGTTATTTGCTTTACTGAGTGTTCTACTAATGGATATGGAAAGTAGTTCTCAAATAATAATAAGTAGAAATAAAGCATCTGAAAATTCTCTAAGGACAAGTTACTGAAAATGAAAGACTATTCAAGTCCTAGAATTTATTATTTGTCAAAGAAAAGTGGTGAATCAAATGTTTTTATTTTAGTTAAAATAAGATACAATTCAGATGCTGATACTATGGATTAGTGCATTAAAGAAAAGTAGTTTGGGGGGAACATATTACCAGCTATGATCAGAGCAATATCCAACCCAAGTTTTGGAAGTGAAAGCAACATGTAGTATATAAATGCTTGTAGTTCTCATAGAATTGGTTTTGCGGGATGACATCACTGCTAGAAGTCTTCCTCTATTATTCCTCTAGAAGTGGCAAGGCATTTAACCATACCTCCTTAATAATTATCCTATAAGTCTTATACCCAGTATATACCTATAAGTTTTGTTCCCAATAAATATGCAGAGGTGTAAATTGAGAATGTAAAGTGGAAGAGCAGTCCGTTTTTCTCTTTCCACATTTGATTTATCTTATCCTGGTGGACCATTGTTGACTTTTTGTTCTGTGAAGAAGGATATGCCCAAATGTTGGCTAGCTCACTAGAGAAGGCTTCGCAAAGTGGGAGGATTGCGAAATAACTTTCTTAGTTTGATTAATGCTTTGCTTAGGGTGTGATCTAGATGTTTGGTTTTGTTTGGTATGAGGTGTGAACCAAGTTGTTAAGATTTGTAAGCCATGGTTTACTGCAATATGGGAATATAGCCAATGCCTGGATGTGCAACAGTTTAATAAATAAACTGTTTTATTTATTAAATTTATATCTAATCTTTATTTTGTACAACTCCTACTCAGCTGGCTTTTGTGTCTACTACTGGACTAAAACAATCACCCTGTTTCTAATCCAGTAAACCCCCACATTATGTTGGCCTTTTTGCTTTCAGAACATCACTATATAGATTAAATGAAGCAATTTAATAACTGTTGGTTTTCCATTTCTAAAACTCTTCTTACAATAAAATGCTAATAACATAAGGAAAAGCCTGTGATGCCAATCTGAAAATGCTTGATTGAGCTGAGTTTTAGGATAGTATTAAAGCACTGAGTCTTTAGGATTTAAATTTGTCATTTTTGCTCACTGTATTTTATAAAACTAATGTGATAATTCCTGGTATTATTTGAAAAAAGGTACAAACATTTATAAGCCAAATTTATTCACTCTGTAAACACACTCTGAATACACAGCTTACATAAATAAGTGTAATAATAAAATGTCCTTATTCATAAGTATTCTGGTATTCACTCCTGGAAGTTTGAAAAATTAGGCTAACAAAACAAAATTATATAAAAGTTGCTGCATTTGATTATGGTAGCTGTTAAACATCTATTGAACTCCAGTTTTCTAATTTCTTGAAAAGTATAGCTTATAAATGCGTATGTCCCATCACAGCTGTATATGTTTAATTGGCCATAGAGTCGCCAGATTAAAGAAAAAGATCATTTGAGCAGAGGTGATTGGCAGCTGTTCTACTGTTCATTTCTTGGGGTGATGTATGCATAGCGTTCAGTGAAGACTACTTTTATATTGGAAAGGATTACATAGTAGTCATGGATTGTACCTGAAAATACTTTTTTTCTTTCGCAGTCCTTTCCTTTGTATATAAGAATCTGCATTTGTATATAACATTTGTATGTAGGAGATTTATGTGCACTTTCTGGTGGAAAAAATAGACTGCAATTTAGATTTAAAACAACATTGGCACAAATAATTATAAAATAAAAACAGTATTGTAAGAGACAGCTGGAATCAGCTTTGGAAATAGCTACTGTATGTTAGCCTGCAAAAGAAGCAGGTGTTTTAATAGTCCAAACAGAGGTACTTTCATAGTCGCACAGATTACAAAAGACCACTTTTTGTGCAGAACTGGTACATTCCATGGCCTGTGAATTATACAGGATAAAGCTCTTTCCCTCGGTCAGATCTTGGTGAGCAGGAGTATTTGCGGAAAAGCTTTTTCTACAGATCTTAAAAGTAGATTCTTTTTAGTGTGTGTGTGTTTGTGTGTGTGTGTGTGTGTGTGTGTGTGTAGACAGACAGACAGACAGATAGATAGATAGATAGATAGATAGATAGATAGATAGATAGATAGATAGATAGATAGATCGATCACTGGAAACAATTCTACATGCCTGCTTCTTACACATCCATATACTATTGTTGCATCTAATTGCTTCAACCATTTTTAATATCCAGAAAACCAAGTAATTCTGAAAGTGTTATATGATTTTCCTGCAAATTTCTATGTAGCATGTGAGAATTTTTTAAAAATAAAAATCTACTTTAATGTGGTCTCTTCGGAAACTTTCTTTAGACATAAATACAGATTGGCTCTATTCTTTTTAAATTGTTATCACATTTTCCCAAGTATATATTCGTTTTTGTAGTTTTCTTGCTTAATAATTAACAGGCTTTTTCTCACTTCCTTATGTGCGGGACTAATGTGGATTATGGAACTTCAAAGAGGCCTTTTTAAAAAGTGCTAGCCTCAATCTTTGTATTATAAAATTTGCTAGGATATGAAAAAAAAGTGTAGCAGAGGGAACTACAATGTGCTGAAATGCATAAGAACTTGAAAAATGAAGGAGCTGTTTAGTTTGAATAATGGTTGTCCAACAGAAAGATGATAAATCAAATTACCTTCCTAATATCAACTTTTCTGAAAGAATCCAGAATGATTAAGATTTTTTGTGGATGAACAGCTCCAGTCGTACAGATTTTAATGTCCCACATTATTTCAATGTTTGTGTCTATGCTATGAACCGGAAAAAGATCAGGTGGTACAGTCCTATTTAAGATAAAAAATGAGGGCTTCTGTAGGGTAGCTAGAGGAGGAGATGGAAGGCCCTAAATTTATTCCCAGTGGGAGAGAAATAACTGCCATGGTGAACTGTAGGTATGTTAGAAAGTTCTTTGCTGATCTTCAAAAAAAATGATTAGTACTTGGATGGGAGACCATCAGAAAATCCCTTTATTTTAACCATATGGGGAAATTATCAGCAAAAGGCAGTGGTAACACATTTTGAGTCAAAACCCCCATGTTTTCATCTTCCTGAAATCACCAGAAATTGAGCCCCTTATAAAGGAAGCCAAACTTCCTTTTCAAACCTGGCAATTTTGGATGGGTGGACTTCAACTTCCAGAATTCCCCAGCCAGCATGCTAGACTTTTGGCTATCCCCTGGAATGCCCTGTTTTGCTCTCCAATGTTAATGGGACATGTACCAAAGCTATAGCCCAGTGATGGCAAACCTTTTAGAGACCGAGTGCTCAAAAACTGGTCCCGCTCCACCTCCCTGCTCCGCCCCCGTTCTGCCCCCCCATCCCCCACCCCTCCTGCCCACAGGACCACTCACTGCCTCCAGGGCCCGCCACAGATCGCCCAGGTAGCCCAGAAGCACTATGGCGGCCACACCCTCTGTCCACGTCCTGCAGCTTCAACTGCGTGATGGGGTGTGAGGGCAAAGTCTTGTCTACGTTGCCTGGCTGCCATGTCCTTGGCTGTGCTGCTCCATGTGGGCCACGCTCAAGGGCAACTCTCCTTCGGGGGGGCTGCTGGAGAGGAGGGGATCGTGGGGGGAGGCAAGTCTGGGGCAACAGCACGTGTGCCCACAGAGAGGGCTCCAAGTGCCGCCTCTGGCACCTATGCCATAGGTTCGCCACCACTGCTATAGCCTGTATAGGGAGAGGACTTCAACAAAGTTGTTCTTTCAGTGTATCTTTTCCTCAGCTGAAGAAGAAAACAGTGAGGCTAAAGAGATAGATAGTAGGATCAGTAGAAGGCGAGGTGCCTAGAAAAAAAGAAATTTCTGAATCTGGTAGCCGGGATGTCCAACTTAGCCCAGTCAGCCTCCAGAGGTCCATTAATGCCAGCTAATGATTGCATAATGTTGACTGGGAATTATAGCAGTTGCAATCTTGAGATGGAATCTTATGTTAGAATTTTATATATATATATATATATATATATATATATATATATATATATATATATATATATATATATATATATATATATATATATAAAAATAGAGCATCTGTGGCACTGATGCCCTGTATACATCTCAGTCACTGATAATATGTCCTTTCTGGCTATGCTGAACCTCACAGTCCTGTTTATTTATTTACATTCTGCCTTTATTATTTTTATAAATAAAAGTGGCAAACACACATATTGTGATTCTGTTTCCTTCCTTCAGATCCTTGTCTATAAGCCAGTTAAAATCTGAACTGCAGCAACCATCAGAGGAATTAGTTTGATAGATGAGAAAAAGAAGCAGTACTCCTCCTATTTTCAACATGTTATTGGATACAGTTAAGCAATAATCAGTACTAATTTAGGATGGGAGTAGTAACTATTCAATACCCGTTACCTTGTTAGGCAGGATGAAAGAAGAGACCAGGGAGACGTTCTTTTCCAGTTTAAACAAGAGAGACTTGACCTTAACATTTTCCCAATGAAATGAACAAATGCTTAATAAGACAGGGATGATCCTTCCAGCATTTTGCACCCTGTAGTGCTATCTCAGAATCAACAGGAAGGCAGGTTCATTATGAAATCCTGATCTGTCTCCTCAAAGCTGACACTTGTGTGAGGTCAGCTCATAGGCTCCAAAGCTCAGCACTGCAGAAGTGTACTGCTTCTTTTTCTCATCTATCAAACTAATTCCTCTGATGGTTGCTGCAGTTCAGATTTTAACTGACTTGTAGACAAGGATCTGAAGGAAGGAAACAGAATCACTGGAAATCCTTCTCTGAAAAAGAGAAGAGGCAGAAAAAAAAATCACACCCATATCATACTATTGGAGTTTCACATTTTAAGAGATTGTGAT